GTGCGTGGTCGTGTTGGCGCTGTCTGCGGCGCGATGGCTGGCGGCCCAGAGGACCAGGGCCAGCCGTTTACGCTCAGCACCAAACAGTGGCAAACGGGAACAGGCTGATACCCGCCGCTGATGCGATCCGTGGCTCGGTCGCCGGGGCCGGTGCGCGCCGGAGAGACCGAGGCAGACACCGCTCCGTCCATGGCGGGCCAGTGCGCGCCGGAGAGACGGAGACAGACACCGCCCCGTCCAGGGCGGGCCGGTGCGCGCCGGGGAGACCGAGGCAGACACCGCCCCGTCCAGGGCGGGCCGGAGCGCGCCGGGGAGACCGAGGCAGACACCGCCCCGTCCAGGACGGGCCGGTGCGCGCCGGAGAGAGCGAGGCAGACACCGCCCTGTCCAGGGCGGGACGGAGCGCGCCGGGGAGACCGAGGCAGAAACCGTCCCGTCCAGGGCGGGCCGGTGCCCGCCGGAGAGACCGAGGCAGACACCGCCCCGTCCAGGGCGGGACGGCTGTCTGCCAGGGATCGCCGCCGCCGCCGCCGCCGCCGGCGCCTGGCTGAGCGTCGGCCGAGGGTCATGTCACGGGACTGCGGGAGGCACAGTGGAGCCGACCGCCTCAGCCTGCACGGGTTCAACGGGCCAGGCCGACCACCGGGTGTCCGGGAGGGGGAGGGAGAGCCTGGAGCTCTTACCGGGTCTGACCCCGCCCTGAGTCGGCGGGCTGAGATGACCTCCGGGTTTCCGGGTCGTGACAGGGAGGCCGGAAGGTCGTTGGGAGGTGGTCGGCTGTCTCTGACCATTCACGGTCATCACAGGTTTTGTTGAAGAGTGTCGGGGGTCACGATGGAACGCAGGGCGTAATGTCATGGGATCACATCCCTCGGATCACGCATGGCCGGATCAGATCCGTGCAAGGGGGGGGGGGGTGGTTCGAAGGGAAGACCACCGTTGTGCTGCCATCTCCACCACTCCTGCTGATGGCAGGTGCTGGCATAGCTCTGGCCCTTCCGTCTGCTCAGTGCCAGGTATTTGGGTAATTGCGGGATTCTGTCAATATCATATGTGTTTACGTCAATCACGACTGTCTGGACGCCAGTTGTTTCACGGCAGCGCCTTTCGATTGCTTTCAAAATCATGGCTTATCAACCGTGGGAGCTTCAGCCTCCCTTCTCTGGACTGTGTCAGCTTTGTTTAACGGTGCGATGAGAGAAGTGCTATGAGTATGGCATAAAAGCTGACGCATGCGAAAGAGCGCTGGTAGGAAGATTGGAGTTTTTAATATCATTGGATTCCCACGGAGACGGATCGATTTAGGAGAGGTGTGAGCAACGATCATGTCTACCGGAACAGCGGCAGACCGATTCCCAGCTTCCAGAGGGGGCCTGCCGCGGCCGGCCGGTGCGTCCCACAGTGGCGGCTGTTGCGTGCGGGCGCCGCTGCTCGGCCGTCGGGGCGCGCCGACCGCCGGCGCCCTCTGATTGGGCCTGACAGCGAGACGAGGGGACCCGAGAGGCCGCCACATCCGGCCCGCGGGAGATGTGGGGGAGACGGGCTGGCCGGGCTCCTGAGGCGGCGCCGCGCCGTGGCGAGGGAGACGGTGGCGCCGCCAGACACAGCCAACCGGGCGCCGTGCGGCGGGCGACAGGCAAGAGTGGCATGTGACGAGCGCTCTAAAGGCCATGCGTCGGGAGCTGTGAATGCCTTTGGAAGGAGATACAACCAGCACGGGTGTGTGTGTGTGTGTGTGCGTCACACTACCAGAGCGAACGGCCGGTTTTGCCGGAGCTGTCGGCTGTGGTGGACGGCCGGTGTTGCCGGAGCTGTCGCTGTAAGCGGCGGGTCGGCCGGCGCTGGCTCCACTGAGGCGCCCTTGATCCAGCGGCATCTGCCGACGCGCCAGCAGACCCGGCGTGACGTCACAGAGACGCGGCGCCGGTGCAGGCGCAGCTGCCGCGGGCAGGGGAGGGGCGACACGTCACGTCCCCAGGGAGCGCCGCCGCACGGCCCCGGCCGCCGGCGATCAGCTGTTTCCCGTGGCGGTCGACCGCCGCCTCCTAAACCGCCGCATCCTCTTTTGGCCTGGCGGCTGTGGCCCAGCCCCGCTCTGCCCGGTCCGATACAACGGCGGCAGCGGCGTCGCCTCCGCCGCGTCGCGAGGGGGCAGTCTCCCGGGCGCCGCCTAAGTGAAGGCAAATATTTGTCCGGCGTGCGGCAGGTGTGGACCGCTCCGCGCGCGCGCGTGCGTGTTTTGGCCGTGGCGCCGGCCGGCTTCGCACCGGCACATCCGCAGACGCCCGGGGCCGCCGATTTTATATCTTCACGATCGGCGATAGGTGCGGTGGGAACGGAAGTGGGATGTCCCCGGTGGGCGCGACTGTCGCCGCTTGTGCCGCGCGGCGCGTCTGTTCTCCGCCAGCTGCTGGAAAAACGAGCCGTCCAAGGTCACGGTCGAACGTATGACTTATCCGATTCCGTCTTGGGAACGGAATCACACCGCCAGACCGCGGCTTTAATTGCCCATAATGGCGGTGTCTCCGGCGGGGCGTACGCCCGAGGTGTCGCTGCTGGGAAGCGGCGTCTCGCCTGATCGCGCGCTGAACCGCGGCACGCTGGCCGCCCGCTGGACCGCCAACGGGCGCGCCGTGACGTCACCGGTCGGGGCGCCGAAGCCTAGAGAGGCGTGCAGGGGTGCCGGCGCTCGGCTCCTGCCGCCGCGCCGGCGTGCCTTAGAAAGCGAGCTGGGGTTAAGCGAGGCGGCGGGGGCGGTGCCGGGGCCGTGCCCGCGCCGGCGTCCGCTCCCACGATCCGGGCTCTCTCGCTCTCGCTCTCGGCCGGTGACGTGCGCGCGCGCCGCCAGCGCTGTTATTAGGGCGAGATGGCGTCCGGGCGGGCACGCCATCCGGCCGCCGCCGCCGCCGCCGCCGCGGCATGCGGGCCCGGCCTGCTGAGGTTGGCGGCGCCGGCGCGCCGTCCCAAACACGACGGCGGCGGGGTGGCGACGGCGGCGGGCCGGCCCAGGACCTGTGCTGGCCGGTGCCGGTCCGTCGGCGGTCATGACGCAACACTGGCGTTGGCCGCCTCCTTGCTAGCAGTTGTGGTCAGATCTGTAGCGATGGCGATGGCGAGCGTGCGAAGCTGTCGCTTTGTGAGCTGGGGTTAAATTGGGGGTATGCGGTGGCTGGCAGTCATCAGGGCATGGTTAGCAAATCGTTGACTCAGCCAAGCTTCCAACCATGCCTTGGTTCACTTCAACGCGAAACGATGCAAATGCTGATAATGTATTACGTTTGGCAAGTGGCAAATTTGTTTTGTGTTTGGTTTCCTGTAGCGGCAAACCACGTGTGTTTGACTCGCACGGGCGACGGGCCAAGAGAGACGGTTCCGGCGCGGTTAAGTATCTCGACAAAGATAGCCCACTGAACTGCATTCGCCACACCGGCTTTGATGAACTGAGTCTGCTCAGCAAGCTTCCTGGTAGGTACTCCGGCCCTAAAGTCATCCCTGTAAAACACTTCATCAATTTTCTTTCGGAAAATTCCCCCCTGCCCTCCCACAACGGCATTTGCCTCTGGGCGCATCCAGCAAGCTCCCTAGTAGGTACTCCGAGTCTAAAGTCATCCCTGTAAAGCATTTCATCAATTTTGTTTCAGTAAATTATCCCCTGTCCTACCGCAACGGCATTTGCCTCTAGGCCCGTCCTTTTTCTCCAAACCACCGAAAACATCCGTGCCTGCCTTCCCCACTAACTAGCCCAGACCTAGTTTAGCATGTGCGCGGCAGGAAGTCGTTGCGGCTGGACAGGGCGCGAACGGCCGGCACCTGCGGCCGAGCTGTGAAACGTGAGAGGGAGCGTTTCACCGGCAGCTCCCGACGGCGGCCGACGCCGCTGGTGCGCCCTGGGCGTCCTCCCGGCCCGCGAGCCGCCGCCGCTGGTGCGCCCTGGGGGTCCTCCCGGCACATGAGCCGCCGCCGCTGGCGCGCCCTAGGGGTCCTCCCGGCCCGCGAGCCGCCACCGTCCTGGGCTGGGCCACACTGCGGCCGGCTGCGCGGAGAGCCGAGCCCCTTCATACGGCGCGGCTAGCCCCCCCCCCCCCCCCGTCACGTACACAGGTCTGCGTGGGGCCTGCTGACGTCTCCCGTTACATTACAGCATCCGCCCCTGTCAGTGGTGTGCCTCTGTTGCAGGGTATCGGAGAGAGCCGGCATCCCCTCCAGCTGTGTGCATTGTGCCGCTGTGCTAAAGCTGTGTGGCGGGCGTACCTGTGTTGCAGCCGTGTACCAGGCGTACCAGACGGAGGTGCATAACGTGTACGATCCGTGGCAACGCGGCCGTGTTCGGCTGCCAGGTGCCGAGCTACGTGGCCGAGTTTGTGACGGTGCGGGAGTGGCGCACCAGCGGCGGGCGCGTCTTCTTCCCCGGGCAGGAGCACGGTAATTGGGCGCGTCCGTCACCTGACCCGATCTGACCTGACCTGTCCTGACCGCGGCGGGCCGAGCCGGTGCTCGGGCGGAGCTGGGGTCGCTGCGTCGGCTCCTCGGCGGACCGCCCTTCCGACGACAGGTGTCGGCCGCCGCCGGCGTGCCTCCAGGGCAGCGGCCGTAACCGCTCGTGCCCGGCCTTGCAGCCGTCTCGCAGCAGTACGCCTCGGGCGTGATCGACCAGTACGTCATCGTCGGCAACGCGGCCGTGCTGCAGTGTCAGATCCCCAGCTTCGTGGCCGACTTTGTTTCGGTCAAGTCGTGGGAGGACAACGCCGGCGGCACGTACTATCCGACGTCGCACCACGGTAACCGCCGCCGCCGCCGTTGCGTGACGCACGCGCGCCTTTCAGTCGTTTCGCAGGCGTACTCCGTCGAAATCGACAACGAGTTGGTGGTGCGGGGAAACGCGGCGGCGCTGCAGTGTAAGGTGCCCAGCTTCGCCGCCGACTTTGTGCAGGTGGCGTCCTGGCAGGACGGCGACGGCGTCTCGTACTTCCCGTCGCAACGCTACGGTAACTAGCGCCGCTTCCTTTCAGCCGTGACGCAGCCGTACAGGATCAGCGTCATTGACGAGGACGTCATAGTCGGGAACGCCGGCGCGCTCCGCTGTCGCATCCCCAGCTTCGTCGCCGACTTTGTCTCGGTCAAGTCGTGGCAGGACGGCGCCGGCGGCGCGTACTTTCCCTCCTCGAGCTACGGTAACCTCCGCCGCCGGCCGTCCATAACGCCCCTCCCGTTTCCAGTCGTGTCGCTCGCCTACCGCTCGGAGACCGAGAACGAGTTCGTGGTGCGGGGAAACGCGGCCGCGCTCCGCTGTAAGGTGCCCAGCTTCGTGGCCGACTTTGTGCAGGTGGCGTCCTGGCTCGACAGCGACGGCGTCTCGTACTTCCCGTCGCAGCGCTACGGTAAATGGCGCCGCTGTTGCAGTCGTGACGCAGGCTTACGCCGCCGGCGTCCACCCCGTCCACGTGGTGGCCGGCAACGCGGCCGTGCTGCGCTGCGACCTGCCGAGCTACGTGGCCGGCCTGGTGCGCGTCACCTCATGGGAGGCGTCGGACGGCGGCGTGTTCTTCCGCTCTAGCGGCGGCCGCGACGGTACGCCCCGCCCGCCGCCCGGCCCGGCCCGGCCCGGCCCGCCCGGCCCGCTCCTGTTTCAGCTCCGCTCGGTCGGCGGCCGGCCAGCGATCGGCCGCACGGGGTCAGCCGCCGGCGTCGGCTGACCTGACCCGACCCGACCTGTTGCAGCCGTCACCCAGCCGTACGAGGCGAGCGTCGAGCGCGAGTATGTGATCCGCGGCAACGCGGCCACCATGCGCTGTCAGATCCCCAGCTTCGTGGCCGACTTTGTGACGGTGCAGTCGTGGCTCGACTCCGCGCAGGCCTCCTACTTCCCGTCGACCCAGTACGGTAATTGTGACAGTCGTGCGCGGCCTTCCCCTGCACGCAGCCGTCACCCAGCCGTACGACACGGACCCCGGGAAGAAGTACGTCATCGTCGGCAACAGCGGCGTGCTGCGCTGCGACGTGCCCAGCTTCGTGGCCGACTTTGTGCGCGTGCAGTCGTGGGTCGACTCCAGCGGCGCCACGTACTTCCCCTCTGACCGCTACGGTAATTGTGGAGGGTGGCGGCGGGGCCGGGCTCGGCTGCGGCCCGCGCCGCCACGTCCCGTCAGCCGGCCGCCCGCTCGTCCGCCCTCGGGTCGCCTCCGTGACGCAGACTCCTCCCGGCCGGTCCACTGCCGTCGTCGAGGCCGTCGGCCGGTCGCTGAAAGCTCGCGCTCGGTTCGCTGCGGCTGTGCTCAGCCAGGGGATCGCTCTGCCAGCCTCCTACGAAGAGCCGGTGTTGATGGACTCTTCGACTTGTCCACACATTGACGTGGTCTGACGGGTGACGTAGTCTGACTGCCCAGAGGAGGCAGTCAGAGGGAGCAGGCTGCGAGAGAGCAGAGTCCCAGGGGGAGCAGACTGCGAGACTCCGGTATTCGCCGAAGAGCGGCGCAGTCTGGTCGACCCTGGCCTTCACAACACAGGCGCAGCCTGACGAGTCCGCCTCCATCACAGCGGGATACGGTCTGCCGGAGTTCTCGCTCGTTCCGCAGCGGGGGTGCCCCGTCGGACCCCGCTGTCTCCGCCGCTGAGGTGTCCATCGGGGCGATCCTCTCGGCCCGCCGACGGACGTCCCTCTGTCTCCGCCGCTGGAGTGTCCATCGGGGCGATCCTCCCGGCCCACCGACGGACGTTCGTCTCCGCCGGCCGCTGACGGACCTCCTTCTGTCTCCGCCGCTGGGGTGTCCATCGGGGCGATCCTCCTCAGCCCGCCGACGGACGTTCGTCTCCGCCGGCCGCTGACGGACCTCCCTCTGTCTCCGCCGCTGGGGTGTCCATCGGGGCGATCCTCCTCAGCCCGCCGACGGACGTTCGTCTCCGCCGGCCGCTGACGGACCTCCTTCTGTCTCCGCCGCAGTGGTGTCGCAGTCGTACCAGACGGAGGTGAACAACGCGCACGTCATCGTGGGCAACAGCGGCGTGCTCAGCTGCGTGGTGCCCAGTTTCGTGGCCGACTTTGTGCGCGTGCAGGCGTGGACGGAGAGCAGCGGCGCCACCCACTACCCGACGGCGCGGCACGGTACGCCCTGTGACGCCCGGCCGCGCGCCGCTGTGTGTTTCAGCCGTGCGCCAGAGCTACGAGACGCGCATCCTGGACGAGTTTGTTATCCTGGGCAACGCGGGCGTGCTGAAGTGCGTGCTGCCGAGCCACGTGGCCGACCTGGTGACAGTGCAGTCGTGGCAGGCCAGCGACGGCGCCGTGTACTTCCCCTCGTCCAACTACGGTACGCCGCCGTGCTCGCGCTCGGTCACGCGCTGTCTGTCGGGCCTCAGTGTCCTCCGGTCGCCCGCGTCACTGGAGGCTCCGGCCCAGTCGCTGGCCGTGTCGTGCAGCGGCGGGTCCGGCCTCGCTCGGCCCACCCGGCCGTCCTCGGCGTCGCTCCCGGCCGCCCGGCCGCCGACGGCGACTCTCGATCTGTCACCCGGTCAGCAGCGCCGCCGTCCGGGGCGTCCCCGTGACGCGGCGTCGGAGTCGGAAGGTCGGCGCCCGTCGGTCTGCCGCGGCCCGGCTGCGGTTGGCGCCGACGGCAGCCGACGGCCGCTCCAGCCGCATAACGTCGTCTTCGGTCTTCGGTGGGGGGCATTTCCAACTGGGACAGCGGCTGCACGTGACGCGTCTCGCGTGACGGCGGCCGGCGTGTCACGCAGCGCTGCCCCACTGTCTCAGCAGCGCGACCGTGTCTCGGGGGGACCGGGCCGGCCGGCGCGGCTGGCTGGCGCGGCCGCGCTGGGAGCCGGCTCACGCGCCGCCGAGATCGGGGCGCGTCTCCGGCGCGCTCGTTAGTCGTTAGCGTTGAGCGGCGGCGGGCCGCGTCCGTCGCCGTCCGTCGCCGGCCGTCGGCCGCCGCCGCCGCCGCCGCGGGTCGACGCTCGACGGCCGACGCGTCTGACTCACCGACGCACGCCAGCTGACGGCGCCGCACGGAGAGCGGCCACGCACGGCGGCCGGCGGCGCCCGGAAATCGATGGAGCGGCGGGGGCGGGCGTGCGGACGGAGTGCGGGCCGGGCCGGGACCCGCCGGCCGCCCGGGCAGGCCAGGTGGGCCGGCGGAGCCCCGGCCGCCGACGTCCGCGCTGTTTGTTTCGGGCCGGGCTGGCGGCGTCTGTCGAGCCGGCCGGCCTCCGCGGCGCGGGCGGCCCCCGCCGGGCCGGCGGCGGCGGCTTTGTCCGGCCGGTCGCGTGGGGAGCGGCGGCCCCCGGGCCGCGTCACAGACGGTCGCCTCCCTCTCTCCGTGTGTGCTCAGCTCCGTGTGTTTGCCTTTGCGTGCGCGCCTGCACCGGTGCGTGTTGTTCACAGTCGGGCTGTAATCTCAGATCATGGCCCAGACCTCTGAGGCTGTAAAGTAACGCAGTGCGGTTTCAACCGCTCAAATGTCCGACACCGTAACGGTAACGCTTGCTTCTGTGCCGATGTGCCTCGTTATGGAATCTGTCGGTCCACGCCGTTCAATTGTCTCCAAATTGGTACCTGGCAGTCGGGTGCCGTCCAGGCCCCGTTACAGGCCCTGTAAGCCCGCTGCGGTTTTATTGTTGTGGGATGGCCCCTCCCGGCCGCTCCATTGATAGTCCGGTTGACGTGGAAATCGAGGGCACATCGCGCCCATAATGGTTCTCCATGACGAGGCAATGCTCTGAACTGTAAACACGCCGTGGAATTGTGGTGTCGAACCGCGCTGCTTGTCATCCCACGCCGCCGGGTACCTCCTGAGCCTGCCCTGCCTCGTAGCATGTCGGTCGGCGGCGCCTGGTACCTCCTGAGCCTGTCCTGCCCCCGTGTCCGTCGGTCGGCGACGCCTGGTACCTCCTGAGCCTGTCCTGCCACCGGGCCTTTCGGTCGGCGACGCCTGGTACCTCCTGAGTCTGTCCTGCCTCCGAGCCTGTCGGTCGGCGACGCCTGGTACCTCCTGAGCCTGTTTTGCCCCCATGCCTGTCGGTCGGCGACGCCTGGTACCTCCTGAGCCTGTTGTGCCCCCGTGCCTGTCGGTCGGCGCCACCGGGTGTCTCCTGGGCCGGCGGGTCACCCTCCCCCCTCCCCCCCCCCCTGCTGACCCGTCTCCTGACGTCCAGTCACCGCCGCCCGCCCTCCGACGGCCGCCCCGGCCCGGACTCACAAAAACCCGGCCACAGCCGCCCGTTGCGGCGCGCTTCTCTGGCGCCCGGCTCCCTCTGTCCGTGACGGCCCGGTCTCAGCGTCTGTGTGACGGCTGCCGGCGCCTGTTGACACCCGAACCGAACCCCCGCCCTAGCTGCACCCCCTCCCCCTTGTTTTTGTTGTGCTGCACAGAGGACTACACTAGCTGGTGGGTAGTGGTCCTTCCCTTGCCTTTGTTGGTAACGATTCCTCCATCCCTCTGTGTTGTCATTTTATATTATGTTTGACCGGCGCCCTTCCCTCATGTGTGACCGTAGCTCCACTCATCCAACACGCGTTGTCCTCGCCGCGCTCTCGGTCCCCCCCCCCCCCCCCGTCACCGTCGGGCAGGTCACCCCCTCCTCTCCTGGCCTGTCCTCCACCAGAGCGTGCCCGAGGCTCGGGTGCCCGCGGGCCGGAGCCGCCCTGCTGACCGGCGGCCGGGTGTCCCCAGACGGCAAGTACCTGGTGCTGCCCTCTGGCGAGCTGCACATCCGCGACGTGACGCCCGAGGACGGCTTCAAGTCGTTCCGCTGCCGCACCGTGCACCGGCTGACGGGCGAGACCCAGCTCAGCGCCACCGAAGGTCGCCTCGTCGTCTCAGGTAGGTCGGCTCCCGGCCCGCGCCCGGCCCGCGCGGCCGGACGCGGCTCGGCCGGCTGCCGGCACGGGGCGACGGCCGGGGCGCGGGGCGTCTGCCCGCCGGCGACGGCGACGGCCGCCGCGGAGCCGGACCGCCGCCGTCGCCTGAGTCAGCCGACCTTGCCTCGGCCGCCGCCCCGGCAAGGCTGGCCGCCGCCCGTCCGGCCCGGCGCACTTTGTCGTCGGCATTGTTCCATTGTGACGGCCGCGCGGGTGGAATGAACCGGCGACCCGCGCCGCTCGCCGCCCGGCGCGCCGTCCGATCGGAATACGCCGAGTCGTCTTATTAGTATCGGCGCCGTCGGAATGTCGACCGATCTTTGAAGGCCGATGCGCTCGTAACAGCTGCCCTTCGGCGGGGATGAGTCATTAGCTGTGTTTGGTCGTGCCGTGCCGCCGGCGTCGGGCGGATGCCGGCCGTCAGCTGATGAGGCGGGTCCGTGCTGCTGCGGTCCGTCTGCTGGTGTAGCGATCGGGCCGGCGCAACGTAACGGTAACGCTCGCTGTGCTCTGCCCTGTTTGCGCTTGCGAACGTAACGTTAGCTGCTGCTTGTGTGCGTGTCACGTGTGCGAGAGGAGCCTACCTGAATGTTGGGATAGGGTACCCCTGCTGTCGGGCCGGCCGTCCGGAGCTCGCCTGTCCGCGCCGGCCGCCGCCTCACGCGCTCACGCGCGCGCGCCGCATCCGGCGTGCGCGCGCGCCGTTCGGTCCGGCTCGATCCGTGTCGTTCTGCTCACGTGCCGGCGCCGGGCCGGGCCCGGCTGCCCGCTGGCCGGCCGGCGCTGGAGGCACGTTCGTGGCGTTTGCGGTGGTCAACTCCGTCGAGGGCGGGTGCGCGGCCGGTGCACGCACCGCAGCGGGTGCTGCGGAGGCGGCAGCCGCAGGTGGCGCCACCGGCAGTCATGCCGGGCGCTTGCACCGCGGGAAGGGCGGGCGTGGGTGTGTGGTGCGGACGGTTTGAGGTACGCTGAGAGGTTTACGGTTTCGGCGTGGCCGTTGGGCCTTGCACTGGATGCTGGGAAGGTAATCCTGGTCAGACACACTGGCGCAACGAGGTGGTAGGTAACCTGCCGCCGCTGAGCGTTGCTAGGGCCAAACCGTGATGCTCCTGCCGTGGGCCGATGCCGCGGGCAGCCGCTTGTTCAGTGGGAAGCGCACAGCGTCGAGCGGAGGGCCACGTCCGGCTTAATGCCGACCATCCGGCTCCAACTGGGCTGTCACCGCTGGCGCGATTTGTCGGCTGGCCGCGTCTGTGGGCGGCTCCGACCCGCCGCCGGCCCAAACTGCGCACGGTCGGCGGACGGCGGCTCTCGCGCTCTGCTGCCGGCGCCGGACGGCGGCGGGGTCCCGCACGGCCGGTCGCGGCGGCGCCCCGCGCGCGCTCTCAGGTGCGGGGTCGGTGCTGACGGGTCGTGACCCGACAGAGCCGGTGTCGGCGGCGGCGCCGCGGCTCCCGCTGGCCGAGCGAAGCCGCCTGGCGGCCGGCGGCGCCGCCAGCGCCATCAGCCTCCTCTGCCCGGGCCAGGCCTCGCCGCCGCCGCGCTTCCGGTACGTCCGCTGTCAGGCAGGTCAGGCGCGCGTGCAGGGACGGTACGGCGGCGCGGCGACGTCGGTCGACCAGCGACCGGCCGCTGGTACGTATGTTCTCAGAGCCCGGACTCCCGCACCGGGCGCTGACACCCAGCAGATGCGCTCAATCTTAAGGTGAGCCGGGCAGTCTTCACCACCGCTAGAGGGCGCTCGACTAGCGGAGTTCGTCGCAGGACAGCCGCGCTGCGCTGGCGCTTGCGGTCATCTCCGGAAGACGGCTGTCTCTGGATCGCACGTCCCGGTCGGCCGCTGTTGTCCCAGCGCCGTGCGCTGGACACGGCCGCCGTCGGCAGAGTGCTCAGGGTTGTGCGCGGCCGGGCGGCGGTCCGGCAGCGGCGGCGTACCGCCCGACATTGGGGCCGGCTCCCGGGCGTCTCCAGCGGGGTGCTGAGCGCGTTCCGTGCGCCGCAGAGCCGGTGAGCTCCGGCCGGCCCCAGGTGAACGCCGCCTCCCGCCTGACGCTGGTGGAGGGCGTGGCGCGGGCGGCCGTCACCGTGCTGTGTCCCGGCCAGGCGGCGCCTCCGCCACACTTCAGGTGGGTCCGCGCGCCGTCCGAGGCCGGCGGCTCGGCGCTGTCACCACGGCCGAGCTCGCAGCTGCCGCATGGAGGCGGTAGGCTGGCTAGGCGCGCCATCGCCAGATTCGGCCGACGAGTTGCGTCCGGCTGGGGTTCGTTGATAGTCCGCTGCGGCGGACGGAGCCGACCGGCGGACGTGGCGCCGGGGCTCGCTCCGCACTCCGCCATCGGCTTTTCCCGGACCCTGCGCCGAACGGGCGGCCGGCGCGGCGGCGGGGCGCTCTCCCAGCGTTCCGGACGGGCCGGCGGCGCAGCTGACTCTGACGGGTGTGCCGGCGGCGCCCAGAGCCGGTGAGCGCGACGCCGCCGCAGCTGGCCGAGGGCCTGAAGCGGGACCTGATGACGCGCCGCAGCGGCCGCCCCTTCAGCATGACCTGCCCCGGCCAGGGCCGACCGCCGCCCGTCTTCAGGTACGCCGCGAGGTCGGGTGCGAGTGGTGGCCGGCGCGGGGCGGCTCCCCGGGCCGTCGCCCACAGGACCGGTGCTCCCCGTCCCGACATTTGGCCAGGCCTCCGTTCGGCGGCCCTGACGCGCAGCTCGGCCCGGCTGCAGAGCCGGTGGCCGCCACGGCGCCCGAGATGAGCGAGGTGTCGCAGCGCCACCTGACGCGACCGCGCGACGCCGCGCTGGCCATGCTCTGTCCAGGCCAGGCGTTCCCCACGCCCCGCTTCAGGTAGGTGGGCCGGCCGGCCGGCCGCGCCGGCGGCAGCGGGTCCCGACATTCAGGCAGGCGGAACCGGCCGCTCGGCTCACCGCAGCCCGCCCTCTGCAGAGCCCGTGGCCGCCTCGGCGCCCTCCGCCATGCTGCTGCCGAACGTGCAGCGGCTGACGGCGGGCAGGCGGTTCGCGTTGCTGTGCCCCAGTCAGGCGTACCCTGTCCCGGCGTTCAGGTAGGTCGGCGCCGCGGCCGACGCACCACTGACGCCAGCGGTGCCCCGTTCAGAGCCGGTCACGGCGTCGGCGCCGTCGACCATGTCTCTGCCGGACATGCAGCGCCAGACGGCGGGCGGCCAGTTCTCGCTGCTGTGTCCCAGCCAGGCGTACCCCATCCCGACGTTCAGGTGGGTGGGCGCGCGCAGTGCTCTGCTCTGACGCGCCCCGCGCTCCGCCCAGAGCCGGTCACCGCGTCGGCGCCGTCTGCGATGTCGCTGCCGAATCTGCACCGCGCGACGGCGAACGGCCAGTTCTCGCTGCTGTGCCCCAGCCAGGCGTTCCCCGTTCCAACATTCAGGTGGGTGGGCCGTGGCGGTGCGCTGACACGCCCCGCGCTCCGTCCAGAGCCGGTCGCCGCGTCGGCGCCGTCGGCCGTCGGCCTGCTGGACCTGTACCGGCACCGGACTGGCGCTGCGCTCTCCTTGCTCTGCCCTAGTCAGGCGTACCCGATCCCGACGTTCAGGTAGGCCTCCGCCGAACCTGCCTGCGGGGCTTGACGGGGCGCGCCGCCCCTCCAGAACCCGTCGCCGCCGGCCGGCCGCAGGTGCTCGAGGCCTCGCAGCTGGGCCAGATGTCGCGCGCGACCGGCGTGCCGTTCAGCCTCCTCTGCCCGGCGCAGGGCTACCCGCTGCCCCGGTTCAGGTCGGTACCGCGCCGTTCAGCGTACTCTGCCTGGCGCAGGGGTACTCGTCGCCCCGGTTCAGGTCGGTACCGCGCCGGTCAGCCTCCTCTGCCCGACGCAGGGGTACCCGCCAACCCGCGCCGTTCAGCCTACTCTGCCTGGCGCGGGGGTACTCGCCGCCCCGGTTCAGGTCGGTACCGCACCAGCCAGCCTCCTCCGCCTGGCGCAGGGGTGCCCGCTGCCCCGGTTCAGGTCGGTGCTGCGCCAGCCAGCCTCCTCTGCCCGGCGCAGGGGTACCCGCTGCCCCGGTTCAGGTCCGTGTCGCACCAGCCAGCCTCCTCTGCCCGGCGCAGGGGTACCCGCTGCCCCGGCTCAGGTCGGTGCCGCGTCAGCCTGCTGCGTCTCTGGTCCGCCGTCACGGCGTCCGTGTTGCAGAGCCGGTGTCGGCCAGCGCGCCGCAGGAGGCTGCGCGCGTCGAGACCTCGCGGGTGAAGGCGGCCGCGCAGTCCCAGGTGGCGCTGCTTTGTCCCGGCCAGGCGTTTCCGCCGCCCACGTTCAGGTAGGCGACGCTCAGCAGCCTCATCCGCCGGGGTCTGAGGCTCCCCGCCGGCCGTACTCGCCGGGACATGAGCGTCAGCGGAGGTCTCCGGCGGGACGGTCTCGCCCGCTCTGCCCCCCCCCCCCCCGACGCAGGGGTACCCTTTGTGGCCGGCGTTCGGGGCGGCGCCCGTGACCGCGGCGTCGCCCGCAGAGCCGGTGGCCGCCACGGCACCCGAGTCGGAGCGCGACTCCCGACTGAAGCTGCTGGTGCGCCGGCGCGGCGCCGCCCTGTCGCTGGCCTGTGCGGCGCAGGCCTCGCCGCCGCCCACGTTCAGGTAGGCTCGGCTCGGCTCGGCTCGAGCGGCGCCGGCTGCTGGTGACGCTGGCGCTCTCGCAGAGCCTGTGGCGGCGACGGCGCCAGAGCTAGAGCGGGACCTGCGCTTCCGGCGCGTGGAGCGGCGTCAGGGCGCGCCGTCTCTGCCTGCTCTGCCCCGGACAGGCGTCCCCGGCGCCCGTCCGACGGTACGTGTTCTCGCCGGGGCGTCGAGGTGGGCAGGCTGGCGGCGGAGAGTGGGGCTGGCCAGAGCCGCCGCGCCACGGGTCGGCGAGCCGGCGCGGACAGTGAGGCTTCGCTGGCGGGCCGGCCGGGCTTGACGGGCGCGGGCGTACCCTGTGCGTACTGCCAGGCGGAGCCCGACG